GGAGGATGGTAGGGAGGAGATTGGGAAGGATACACCACCACCTCGGAGTAGGATACAACCAAAGCACTACCCGTCGTTAGATACAACCCTAGCAAGGGAAGAGGAGACTCCACGCAAAATCTGGAAACAACAATCAAATATAACCTAACCCTAATCCTAGAAAATAACATACATATAAGACTCTACATAGAAAAAACATAAAAGGAAAGATAGGGGAAGGTCTGGCGGCATTGCCACCCTTCCAATTTGCTGTCTGGTCTAGTTGGGGCGTGGACCGGGACTCCTTGGAACTGTACGAACTGGTTCCTCTGCTAGCAGCTGAACCGGCTGGCCCCTAGCCCCATGTCATTTTATCTCCATCTTACTGTTGTATCTTTTATCCTCCGATGCACATGCCTAACAATATTAGTCTATTGTCAACTATTATCTTAAACAAACCTTACACTATCGTCTCTTTAATATAAGTTTTAAGTTTATCTTCGCTAATTTAACAAACATTTACTTTAATATTCTTATTTTTGCAATACTCATTTTATTTGTCAAGGATTTATTAATCATAACACTTAATCCTATAATATAGCTAGCCTATATTTAATTTGAGTATATTTGCTTTTAAATCTCCATATTATACTCTATTTACTATTATGCCCAATCCACTCTTAATTTTAAAAGTTGAATTTTCATTGTATTCTTGTAAGTAACTCTTTTGCATGGTAGATCCAAGATATCCAATTTACTGTTAAGACTTTTCACTTTTAAATAATACTACGATACTATTGATTTCTTATTAACAATTTCTCATCTATTAAAATAGCTAAGTCATGTTTCTACAAATCCTAAATCCCTTGTCTTCTAAAAGCTTCATTCATAGAATTTTGCAGCTCTGAAATATTATACGCTTGTTTTTTAATTTTATTATTGAGGTCTCACACATTAGAACTATACCAATCGTAAAAAGCATATACCAAGCTAACTTAGCTGGGATATATTCACTAAATATTTCCAGCAAGTAAATTTTATGATAATCTTTATTGTAATCTTATTGTGATCGAGGACCCTTTCAAACCATTTCTATTTACAAATCAAGCACCCTCTTTTTCTATTTTTTTTTAAAATTCTCACTCAAACATCAAAATTCACAATAAACCCTCAAACACATAATTGCATTGTTTCGGTAGTTCAGAAAAGATTATCTCGATGTTAGTTTTGTAAATAGCAATGTTTTGAGTGTTGTGTATGTAATTATCTTTTTTTTTTTTTAATAAGTGGTGGTTCTTCCTTTCTTTCTATTGATAATGATTCTGTAATGTCCTATAATGGCGATTTCGTTACAGATTACAGAGCTGAAGGAAAAAATGAAAATTTCTGGAATGCCTTGGCCCGGGGATGAAGGTGAGCATCGATGGGAACGAGCATGGATGGCTATCAAGAAGGTGCAATGTTTTCATTTAGAATTGATTTTTTACTGAAACAAATTTCACTTAATTACATAAAATTTGTTCAAAAAATTAACCATGTTGCAAGGGAATTTATAATTTTGCAAAATGGAGATTTAGTCTTGCAAATAAAAAGAAAATTACAATATGGGACCTTGATGTAGGTTTGGGCTTCAAAGTGGAATGAGAGAGCATATTTCAGTACTCGAAAAGTAAAGCTTGATCATGACTCTCTTTGTATGGCTGTTCTTGTACAAGAAATTATAAACGCAGACTATGCATTTGTTATCCACACTACCAACCCTTCATCTGGAGACTCATCTGAGATTTATGCTGAGGTAAGTTTTTTGGGAAATTTACTAACATAACACAATCCTTAGCTATTTCCGTAGCTAACATCAAAAGTTTGTTATTTACATTTATGACGCCTCGGTGTCATAAATTTATGTATGAAAAAGGTGTGTTTCACTTTAAAAAAAATAGTAATGGTGGTATTTTTTAAAGATTTTTAATATATTTTTATTTTTATTAAATTCTCCTGATATCAAAGAACTCAGAAAACTAAGTTTGGTAATTTTTGGAATTATGTTTGATTTTTAAAAATTATTTAAGTGTTCAATTTAATAGTGATCTTTAAAAATCAATTAAAAATATCAAATGATCTCAAAATCCTTTGAAATTTTTATGGTGAATTCTCTGACTTATAAATCACAGTGGAGAACAAAAATCAAATGATTTTGATTTTTATGTTTTCCAAATTAAATGTTTTAAGCAAATTGAGGTTTGCTCAAAATAATGATGTTTTGATTCTTAAAAATCATGAAATTATTTCCTAAGACTACTCTGGCCATAGGGAACTTACATGAATTTTTGTAGAATTTTCTAAGCCACATATAATTTTCTATAATTATTTGAATAGAAAATTCATAACAACTTAGAAAATTAAGATCTCTGTCTAGAGATCTCCTATGTCTTTGGAAAAATGCTCAAATTGTACATCTAGACAGAGACTACAACATATAAAAATTTAGAGTCAATGTGATAATTCAATATGAATGGAGAATTGAAAAACCCCTAACCCTAATTCATTTTTTAAAAATAATTTATGCATCAAATTAATGTGAAAATAATTCCACATGGTTGTCCTCTGTTCACTGAGCAAGAGGATATTTTTATTTTATTTTTGTGAATTTTTTACACACATATATGGCTGACTGGATCATCGGATCCGTCGAAAGGCCACGCGGCGCACTCCCATTTGACGCCGCCTTCCGAGTCAGCTGCCACGCGTCGCGCTGTATCGTTCCATAGGATCTTCCTAAAGTTTCATAAAACGGTGTGGAGAAACCTCCACCACCGTTTCCTCAAAGATTGAAGCAACACAAACAGAACAAACAATTTTCCAAGTTTTTAGAAATTCTTAAGAAATTAACGGTAAATATTCTCTTCGTAGAAACTTTAGAGAAAATGCCCAATTATGTGAAATTTATGAAAGATATTCTGAACATGATAAGGAAGTTCACTGATAATGAAACTGTTGCACTTAGCGAAGAGTGTAGTGCAATTATTCAGAAAAAGCTTCCTGAAAAATTAAAAGATCCTGGTAGTTTCACTATACCATGT